TCAGACAATTCATTTTCAGGGAGGCACTGAATACAAAAGTAATGCAGCCTAAGCTAATTATTATAATGCTGGCAGAGTGAAAGTTGTGATGTTGAAATGCCTCTAGGCCTGCTGTCTGTAGGAGACTTGCCTTCCAGTGCTGATCTAACTATACTGATCTGAGTCCTTCTTCAGGAAGCTGTTAGTCGCTCAGCTTCTCAAGAGTTTCCAAAAAATTTTATGAACCCGAAGGTTCATTACGATGTTTACAAGGGCTCTCCACTGGTTCGTATCCTCAACAAGATGAATCCAGTCCACACCACCCCATCTTATTTTTCTCAGATCCATTTTAATATTATCTCCGACTACTTCTAGGTCTTCCTACTGGTCTATATCCTTTTGGCTTCCCCACCAATATACCTATATGCAATCGTCTTCTCCCACATGCGTGCTACACGCCCTGTCCACCTCATCCTACCTGACTTGATCATTCTAATTATATTTGGCGTAAAGTAAATAAAATGCTGATGAATGCAACTGTTCCCGAGGGGCGAAAGTAAAATTAATTGTCATACTTCAAAAGTCTGTCATTTCTTTCTCAGAAAGAAAATTAATAATTAAAAAATGTTCATATAAATAATATAATACACGTATTACATAATATCTATTTCATAAGATATGTAACTTGTGTTTGTATCATAAACGGTTGTTTTAATGTTAGTGGGGTGGGACTAAGTTCCTTGTACTGCACCCACTTCTGGCCTGTTGTACCAGCCCCAGGTGATAGGTGAGGGTGATTGTGGAGCAATTGGTGGAATGAAGATTGGCCGGGGGAACCGAAGTACTCGGGGAAAACCTGCCCCAGCGCCACTTTGTCCACCACAAATCCCACTTGACCAGACCCGGCATCGAACCCGGGCCGCCGCGGTGGGAAGCCAGCGACTAACAGCTTGAGCTATGGCGCGACCTATAAACGGGGTTAGTGCACATTAACGAAAGCCACGTGTACAATCGTAGTTATAATGCAGTGCTTCACAACAGGGAGGGCACAGTGTAATTTATGCACGTTCGAAAATTCTAGTTACCGTTATACACTTATCATATATATATGTGCACGTATGTTTGCCTGTGTATAATCAGCACAGATGGAAAAAAACACTGTTTTAAGCCAAGCGACATTTTTCGTTCTTGTTTCTCCTGATGAAAACGGCACTATCTTCTTTATCGCTAGGGGAGTCAGTTACGTTAGAAACTGCTGTATGATGATCACATTCTCTCACACAGTTTAACTGAGAATGTTCAGTGTGGATGATGATCATGCTACTTTTCCCACTGTGTAATAACCACGTCTATACACAAGCTAGTAACAGTTGTACCTGTAAGCTACCATTCTGCATAATGAGAATTAAGAAGTGGACCAGTCTTGCGAATAGCAAGTATAATAGAGTTCTTGTCTTCTTGAATATAAAGTCAAGTGACGTTTCAGATGAACATGTCGCCTCCATGAATACGCCAAGCAAGAAACCAGCATGAAGCAGTTAGCAAAGCATGATACTGTTGCGTTCGTGTTTTATGGCGATGGCCGGGGAGTACAGAATAATGAAGGTCGTTACGGCGTGTGCTTTCGAGATATTCAGAAACAAACACGCTATAGCCAGGCTAAACATTACTCGTAGATTGTGAATGTTTGCTAACTGTTTGAGGCTGGTTTATAGCTTGGCGTATTTTTCGACCGTGTAGATAGAAGGAACATATTCCTCCAAAACGTCGGTTGACTTTCAACGGACTACACAGCGTCATATTTCAGAATACGTAAGTCTTCTTCATAACCACAGCTGTAAGAACCTCAAATGCATAGATAGTAAACTGTTCATTCAATCCACGCGCCGGGTAAGACCGTGCTGTTTACTCACCACATGGTGATAAGGGCCTGCACATCCATACACTCAAGACTCTCCAGGGACCATTTCTGTTCCAGCTGCTCCTCGATAGAGAGACCACTGTCTGGAGACGAACTCATGACACACAGCACACTCACACCAACTCGCACGGCAGGCAGGCAAGCTAGCAGACCACACACTAATGCCACTAAGCACACTGCAAGGCGCTGTAAGCTGTTAGAAAGCAAGCCTCCGGGTGGTGGGTGGTGGTGCCTCAATGAGGGGGATTCTCTTCGAAGAGAAAGCATGACAATAGCGATCATACACACACGTGTATATCGGTGGTTTGAGTCTGGGACAGATCAAACCCATCGTATGTCATTAACACGTGACAAGGAGCGAGAAGTTACGACAGCAGACTTTATACGCTACGGTCATGACTTTACGTTAATGAATACAAACCGTAGAGAAGTCTGAGGATTTCATCCGGACTAAAATCTTTCGCCCTGGTCAGAAACTTGTCCCGTTTCATTTTCTTGTCAAGAGGAAGTTTGCATAAGAGAAGGGATTGTGGAATGCTTTACCTTACGAAAGTCATTAATGAATATATTTCAAGGTAACTCCAAGTGGCTCACACTTTATGTAAAAAAGGAAGACTATTTAAAGCATCTTTTGGAAAAAGAACAAATAAACTCACAACTAGAAACCATCACAGTTACAGCCTGCTGCAAAGCCGTACTTGTATGAACCGTGGCAGCTAGAAACCGAGGTACACGTGTCTGGAACACGTCTGAACCGATTCGGAATGGAGCGACTTATAAGCATACAGCCAAAGTTGTCCGAAAACCCCGTGTTTGTAGCTTCCTGATGCCTGGAAGCGCTGACATATGGCCTTCCATGTCTGCGAAAACATACTGAACCCTCTCCTACATCTAACGTCAACATCAGTGAACAGTACAGGTTCCTGATCATGAATTTTCCTCCTCTCATATTACTTTTATCTTAGACCCCACAAATTTCCTCAGCATCCTCTTCTCAGTCGCTCCAAATCAGTGGTTCTTCCATTTGGACAAGAGATCAAGTTTCGCACCCGCATACAAATGGTAGCGAAAATTACAGTTTTGCACAATTTTCCCTTTTTAATTTTTGATAATATGAGAAAATAAAGAACACTGAACTGATTATATCAAGCATCCCTTGAAAAAAAAATCTATGCTAATTCCTCGTGAATGTAATTATGATTTCTTATTGTCGTCCCCAAATAAGTTTATTTCAAGTTTTGCCACATTTCGAAAGATGTATTACATACTTTCATATTACGGTTCTGTCATGCATTTTGGCGAAGAGATATAAACATAAGCTTCATTTTCTCTCGTCTCATCCGTAGCTACATATTCACATACTGTACTTCACTACGGTAAGACACACAAGAACTGGTAGAGACAATACTCTTACAGGGAGCCAGTGGTGGTTTCTGGTCAGTTATCACTTGTGGTTGACCCTGTTCACCCGTACTCTTCAAATGGAACTGTATCGATTATCTCAAAAATGACCCATCGTACAAAAGATCCGTAGGCTTAACATGGCGAAATGATATGGTAAATACATAAAGAAATATAGAGAACAACAACTGTTCTACAGAGGACGATATCTGTATAAGACTGGTTACGTAACAACACGCTTCTACCTGCAACAATCGATTTGTGCCTACAATAAATGAACATGAAAGGACAATGAAATAATGCTAGATTTCGAAGAACACTTACAGAAAATCTTCCGCTATTGTCAGTATAAATCTCAGCTTTATGTTGTACTTTCTTCCTTACGTGCAAAAAACACACATGCGAAATGTAACGGGGGTCATGCATTCATGAAGAACGGCAAGTGCGGGACTCGGACATAACTGATGTAACAGAAAAGAAGATGAGGCTGCGTTTGATGGTAACAACACACAAACTACGAACACGACTCAGGGTGGACCGTGGACAATAGGCACTCTGATTATAAAAACGTTTACTTTAGTAAATCGTCTGTCAACTTCTGATTTCTCTTTCGTTATTCTTGATGTGTTACACACGATTTCCATATCTTTTTCATTACGATACTTGTTTGATTTTAACATTTTTGTTTCCGCTTTCAACTGGATAATTGGTTAACTCATGCCACGTAAGAGAGTTCTTCCTGGGAAGCTAGTAGTTGTTCAACTAGTCAAGAAATTCCCCGTGTTTTATGGAACCCGAAGATGCATTACTGTGCTCGGAATATAGCACCGCTGATCCTTATCCACCGCAGAATCTGCTGCTTTATGATACATTTAAATATTATCTTCCCGTCTATACCAGGGTTCCCCTAGGTGAGCTCTTCTTTCCCGGATTTCTGACCAGAAGTCTGTATGCATTTCTTCCTCTGGATGTTCCATATCCCTCCCCGACCCATCATCTGATCACCATAATAATATGACGAGGAATACAAATTATGAAGCTCCCAATTATGTCATTTTCTTCATTCTGATGGCGTCTCTTCGACCCAACACTGGATCCCTGCAGTAGTATGGTATTGTAATAACAAGCTCGCGCGAAGCGCCCAACGATGTTGCTGGCCTTAACGCCTATATATATATATATATATATATATATCTTTTGGGCTCTCTTCCTCATTATCCCCGGACCTGAGTTCTTACACGGAATTAGTCGCTTTACGCATAAAACTACCAAGAGTCAGGCCAGTTAGCATAGCTGTAAGGTTCTGGACTCGAATTCGACAGCTGCTCTGTTCGAATCCCGGCCGGTACACCGGCTATTCTTAGCGAAACTTTTTCGTGGTCCCTGGTCCCTCCAGGCAAATGACGAGATAGTACCTCTATTAGGCCACGACCGCTTCCTTCCAGATCATTTCCAATTCATCATCCATCTGCCGTCTACCATTCGATGCCATATGCTCTAGATATTGAACGGGTCGTAATAAAATAATACTACAACGCCACTACAGTGCCAACTACGGTAACTACTGACAATCTACTGCGGTGTCCTGAAAGACTGATGCATAATACTCGTAAATACTACTACTAATACTACTACTACTATTACTACTACTGTATACGGATTTACACACACACAGACATGTGGCAGGCAAAAAGCCTACCTTCTCTCCTGATGCTCGCACGCTCCGTCCAACTTGAGGCTTGAGGGGAAAAAAGAAAACAAACTTGTTATTGAATATCAAAATGAAATAGGCCCTGAAAGATAATTCACTCCACTAAAGTTACAGCGAATAAAAAAGAAAATGGTTCTGTAGCTTAACACAGACATTAAAAGCCTACACTATTACAATGTTAAGCCTGAGTGTCAGCCGAAGAAGTCATTTGACAATACCCTTTCGAGGACGAAGCTAATAAAAATATTTTAAAATCCGGCAGGTTATCTCACTCATGAGAACCGAGAGTCTGACGGCGGTGATCATGAAGAGTACTATGTGCAGTCTGGTATAAGTTTCGCAGGAGCGTGCTACCTCCATCTTCAGGGTCGAAAAGCAAGTCCAGCCAGCTACTTCTTTGCTTGCGTCATATCCAGAAGACATTACTCTTTATAATGACCGCCACGAGAACCTCCAATCTAAAGTATCTTTTAAAATTTTATTATGTCATACACAGTCCGCAAGTTTCATTTCATCATTCATAAATATTTACCATTCTTTGCGCAAGGGAAACCAAACATGTTTGTCACAATAGATGTTACTGCTGCGCTGAACGCAGCTTTCGCCATTACACGAATGCGACATCGCGCGGCATGCAGCTGCTTACTGAAGTTACTGAACTACCGGAACCGTACTGCCTCTACCGGTAGAGCGCAGCACCCTTCGAACTTCGAGCGACTCTGGTGGTGAAACGCAGAACTATTCGTTCCTCTCATTGAAGCAGTCTCCCTTCCCATAAGCACGGCGTTATCGACGTTACATCTCAGTTGAACAGGCCAACATATATGCTGGCCTCCTGCGGTAGTGATTTCCAATGAGATGTAAATATGTGAAGGAATATAAAGTATAAAGAAAACTGTCTGAATATATAAAGTGGATCTACAAACAATAATGATGTGGTTAAAATTTTGCAATCTTTCCTCCTCATCACTGACGAAGCTCATCTAAATAATGTTTAAACATTAGGTTCCGATCCCCAAGAAGATAAACTATATCACGGCCATTGCTGTGTAGGTAGAGAACTGTACTGTACTCTCACATCCACGGCCGGATTAAACAGGAGCAGTTTCTCCGTGTAACCACTATTAATTTCTACTCTTTTACATCGTATGCTAAAATATGATATCCCTATATGTGACGTCCTCTTTATTTCACTTTTCTGTCCTATCCAGCCCTATCTACCGCAAGTATTTAGTTTTAACCCTTTAGAGCCGAGTGATTACTATACTGTACATAACATCTGCTTTATCACACTGAATTCTGAATTTTGCCCACAGAGTGCATTTGTGTGTACCGTATGGTTTTCACAACAAACAGCGACTATCTCCCGAAAAAGCATTAACCGGTTGGGATTTGTAGCGGAAACGCAATGTTTCCTGTAAGGTACGAACTGAATTCTTATATATTATTTATAACGTTACATATCCTACTGAATAATAGGCAGACATTTACTTTGTCTATGAATTTCTGTAATGGTGATGCGAGAGCTGTTCAGCAATACTGATTCCAACACCGAACTATTCCAAATTCACATTGTCTTGTAGCGTTGTTACTCGACTACGTTACCTTTATAACCAGCGGGGGGAAATATGAGCACCGGTGACGCGATATCTGACTACAAGAACAAGAGGGAATAACACTGACCCACGGTTTAATTTTTGTCGAGGACTTCAACCATAGATAGACTTGAAAGGATTCTGACGATGGTGTATGCTGTACAGAGTTATCAGGCTTATTTTGGACTCTATCCATCGTCTGCTGTATAGAAGACATATACGAGATGGACAGAGCCCAAAGTAAGCCTAATAGTTCTGTACATCCATACCTTATTGAACTGAGCACTTACAATTCTATTACTGACGAAAAAAGTTCTACTCGTGATGACGTAAATAACACAAAACAAATCTCCGTGGTTTTAGTCCGCAAGCGAACTATACCGACCAAGCGACCGCCGCTTATCGGCGAAGTTACTGTCAACTTTAGCGGATAGAGCAGCGTTTATGACCCTGTGTTCCGCGATGATGGGACAGGTGGTCCGCAAGGAGACCTAAATTAAATTAAATTAAAAATTGTCCAAACAAAAGAAATTAAAGCGAAATAAGCAAATACAAATTTGCGAAATAAAATGGATACTGAAAGAAAACAAGCTTTCTAAATTCCACGAACATTTCAATAACCAGAGAAGAATCCGGTATTTCCAGGGTATGAGGGTGCGACTGCAATGTCACTAGCTTCAGAGGAGGGACCGTGCCGATAATTAGTAGCTGCAGAAAGACTGCTAATAAAAGAAGGGTGCAGTGAACAACATTATGGTTTTATTGCTCCCGCTTTCCCTTTGCTGTTTTATTAGATTTGAAGTAAACATGGGGTATCCACTTTTCAACCAATTGGTTGTCTATTGTTATTTATTACTGAAAGTTTTCTTGCCGATCTTCATTCCACCAAATTCTCCATCTTCATCGCCAATCAGTGGCCGCCGTGCCGAGTGGACCCAGCTGGACTCAACCCCCCACTAAACGAAAAAAAAAGTGATAGTTGGACAAAGTATGTCGTGAGTTAATTCCAGTTTTTATATATTTTTCGGAAACATTTTTTATAACGGAAAAGCTGCTCCGAACATGGACTTTGAAAAGAAAAACAAACGAAACCGGTAATGCTAACCCTCATTGTGATCCACGTGTTGTAATGACGAGTAAAAGTGATGCTGTTAAAGTCGAAGAAGCAAGCGGTTCAAAGAAAGAATACAGTAGGAAATATGACAGTTCATATTTCGAATTCGAGTTTGCTTGGTGTGGTGATGAACGTGAACAGAAACCTCAGGGTGTTTTGTGTTATGAAGCGTTGTCGAACAAGCGCACGAAACCTGCGAAACTCCGACATTTAGAAACTAAACATTGTGATGTGAAAAATAATCCAACTGATTTTTTTTCAACGACGCTCAGGGACATTAAATCATGGGCAAAATATAGTTTCGGTCATGGGTTCGATTATTAGCAACGCACTGGAATCATTCTCTCTTAAGTTTGAGCACAGCCAAAACAGAGAAACCTCATTCTATCGGGGACACTTTACTTCTTCCGGCTATAAAAGATGCGGCAAAAACTATGTTTGGCAACAAGTTACTAAAAGATGTTGATTTGATTCCTCTTACAAATGACACTGTCGGTCGCGGAATTGACGATATGGCAGGAGACGTAGAATCTCAGTTAATCGAAAGAGTTAAGAAGAGCCCTGATTATGCGTTACAAATAGACGAGACTACTGATATTGCAAATGATGTCCAGTTAACATGCTACGCAAGATATGCGCATGGTAACAACATTCATGACGATATTCTGTTTTGTAGAACTTTGTCAACCCGAACGACTGGAGAAGAAATACTTCACACTCTCGATAATTGCATACGAGACAAAGTGATCAAGTGGGGAAAATGTGTGGGCTGCTGTTCGGACGGAGCTCGCGCCTTTACAGGCAGGCATAGTGGGGTTGGTTCTAAGGTCTAAGGTTCGGATATGAATTGGTTACATTGTTTCATACATAGGGAAGCGTTGGCCTCCAAAGGAATGCAACCACCAGAATTCAAAACTGTGCTTGACAATGCTGTAAAACTAGTTAATTTTGTTAAGGCTAGACCGTTAAATAACAGGTTATTTTCCGTACTCTGCGATGAAATGGGCAGTGAATATACACAACCTTGTGCTTCATTCTGAAATTCGCTGGCTTTCCAGGGGCAAAGTACTAGCAAGGTTATTTCAGTTAAGGCACGGAATTTTATTATTTGTAAAGGAATGTAATTCTGATTTTGAATCACGCCTTGTTGACAAAGTATGTTTATTAGCACTATCTTATCTTTCAGACATTTTTGCTAAAATAAATGAACTAAATCTATCCTTCAGGGAAATTGTTCAATTGTTCTTGATGCCTACGACAAAATAAAGGCATTCAAGAAAAAACTGGCGTTATGGATTAGTTACGTAATAGACAGACAATTTAAAACTTTTCCCAATATTGGAATCCTTTATGGTGGAAAATTATATTTCTGTTTATTCTGAGTTTCTGGAAAGGGTTTCTGACCACCTCAAAACTGTGAAACAGAAATTTGAAACATATTTTCCGAATAACTTTTATGAGAAATTTTTATGGGTTCGCGATCCATTTCGGGGTTACAATCACGAGAACGACCTTTCGTTATCGAAAAAAACACAGTTAATTGAGTTTTCAAGTGACAGTGGGCTTAAAATACAATTCCGTGATCTTGGTTTGGTCTGATTCTGGATCTCGCCCTCAGTGAGAAGTGAATTTCCCGAATTATCTTAAGAAGCATTGAAAATCATGATGCAGTTTCAACCACCTATCTTTGTGAGAAAGGATTTTCATCGCTCTTTCAAATAAAAACAAAAGACAGAAATAATCTTTTTTTTTATTGCTAGTGGGGTGGGACTAAGTCCCTTGTACTGCGGCCACTTCTGGCCTACTGTACCAGCCCCAGATGATAGGTGAGGGTGATTGTGAAGCAATTGGTGGAATGCTGATTGGCAGGGGAAACCGAAGCACTCGGAGAAAATCTGCCCCAGTGCCACTTTGTCCACCACAAATCCCAATTGATCGAACCCGGGCCGCCACGGTGGGAAGCCAGCGACTAACCGCTTGAGCTATATGGCATAGCCTACAGTATGCCTTAATAGCAACAAGGCCAATTCGAAGAATGCTGTCTTCTGGATGTGTGTGTAGGGTAGAAGTTTACCGACTTCGCAAGAGCTTACTGCCCCTGTGTTCAGAGAAGACGGAGGCAGCCAGAAGATAGTACTTTAGTAAGACGGACTGGTGAAACAAATGGAACCAGAAATGAATAGGGGAGAAAGAAAGGAAAGAGGTAAACGTACGAAAGTTAAGAGGCTTGCCGTTACATTTTTAAAGGGCATTATAATGGTTGTGTTTGTAATACGAATAACTGGAAGGAACACAAAACATTTCGTTACGTAAGCGGA